ATTCTGGCTTTCCTCGCGCGATTAATTAACCAGACTACGTAATTCCAAGAGCGTAATTCCAAGTCGACGTTTGCGAGTGATGTTATTTACTGCGTAGCAACCACGGGCGACCTCAGTCGCGATACCGCGGCTTCGCCGCAATTTATGATCGCGACAGAGCGAATGCGCGAGTTCACGACGCTTGGTGCGATGACGGTGTCGCCGGGTATATCTGCCAGACTGCGATAGCAGACATCCTTCCCCCTTTCCCCTATTCCCCCCAGGGCGATACCTCATCGTCTGGAACACATGCTTCTCAATGACGTAATCGCCCCGTCCACGTGCGGCGATTATGCACTTTACGATACGTGTCTATCTCGATCGTTGTCATTCGAGAGAGAAAGAGAGAGAGAGGGGGGGGGAGATGATGCAGCGAAATGATTGTTATTTAATAATTAATTTATAATTTAATAATTTATATAATTAATAATTTATTAAAGATGGACTGTCAGAAATCTTCCGTATCTCGTAAATAATTTTCGCATGCAACGTAATTCACGTGGTCGCTTCAGCCTGCATGAATCCAGTATTCAAGGGGTCTCTTATATGAGGAATTATTGATATTACATTATTACACGCGACGCGTTCACAACCATAGACAGTGTTCACGATACGCGCCATCAATCGAGAGACGACGGCCGGCTCGGCACGGAAATTGCCGGGAATCGCATCGATATCTAAACCGAAGGAATCACCGACGAACTTTCTAATCACTTTTCTTCGTCCGCCTTCCGGTTCATCTCCGCGGCAATATTATCTGAAATTGCTTCGAGAGACGGTGAGTTTCTCTCGGGGCGATTTTATTGTTGCCGAGACTAGACTGCGCGCGCGTGGATGATTGAATCGCTGGGAATTTCATGTCTTATCGCGACAGAAATGGTAATCGCCGTGGCATCCTGCCCGATTGAGATTCCTCGACCTTTGAAATACGGCAAAGGATCCGTTCGTATTACAAAATCGCAAGCATAAGCAGGATTTTTTTTATATCAAAGATGCTCTATAGAAAAGAAAGAACCGTTAAGCTGGAGAAATTTCATGAATCGTAATATGAAATTTAAAATATACGAGTTGCTTCAGGGAGAAATTAGAAATTGTTTTGTGAAAAATGAAGTTTTACACAGAAAAAAAAGAATATTCTTGTTTTGAAAATATCTTTAATTTCAACCTGGAAATCTTGAAATGATGAAAGATTTTATTGCGTTAATTAAAAAAAAACTTACTTGAATGAAGCCATTTTATATAGTTGAATCAAGAAAAATATATTTTTATGATTTAAGATTTCATTTTCTTGAATGAAAAGGAAACAATGTTAGATAGAAAATATTTTTAAATCAAAAATTATAATTTTCTTAAAGTAAAATTAAATGATTATATATTCTTGAGGTGATAATTACAATAAGATTATAATATTAAAATAAGACAACAATATTGTTGAAATTTAAGATTATTAAATTCTTTTAAGATTTATTATATTCTTAAGATTTATTATATTCTTAAGATTCTTATTATATTCTTAAGATTCTTATTATATTCTTAAGATTCTTATTATATTCTTAAGATTATTATATTCTTTTAAGATTACAGATTGTTGCGTATATACGAAACAATAAATGTGTTAATTCAAGTATGTAAGTTTTGATTTAATTTAACACTTATATTTTTTGTGTATGAATCATACATCGCGGGAAAAAAGTTTATATCTAATTATATATAATTGTATAGATATAATTTTAGATCTAATTAGATATAATATCTAATTACGTACAATAAAATTTATTTATTATTATTTATATATAATTATATTATATTATTTATATTATTTATATTATTTATATTATATTTATTTATATTATATTTATTTATAATTATTATATTTATTATTATTATTATTATTTATATATAATTATATCAAAATATTCCCAACTCCATATCGAATTATACAAAAATATTGAATATAATATTCGAAAAAGAAAATTTAATATATAATAATTCTGTATAATTCGATATAAAATTATAAATATGTTGATAGAACATACAAATAAGAACATACAAATGAAAATATAAATAGACTTTATTAAACATAATATAAATACGTAAACTTTTCCTCCAGCAGAAATTGAGCTTTTTCCGGAATCGCGCTTGTTCGTAAAAGGTGTAGCTTCATTAATAAGCTAAAGCATCGCAAAAGCCTCGAATGCGGTTTGCTAATTACGCGTTTTCTTAAAACGTGCGCATCTGCTATTCGCGCGGTCAACTATATCCTCATAGAAGTGCACGCGGCTTCTGCGGAATTCCGTCTGACCTTTGTAGTGGCACATGATGGCGCACAACGTTATTATTACTAAGCTCCCTACAACGGGGGAGGTTGAACGAGAATACCGACTGTACTAACGTCGGTCTCATTTGCTTTGTGGTTCTTGTTAACCGTAGCTTGCACTCGACGGCACGAAAGCCCCACCACGAGTCGTTTCGGATATTTCTCTTGATAGAAAAGCCCTTCGGGTAATCAGGAAGTCGGGATACGCGGCCCCCGAGTCTCAAAGAAGCTAAATATTTCGAGCTATCCGCTTTGAGCTTTGACTTCCCTCGCAGATGATTTCCCCGCGAAATATGGTATAGGAAATATTAATATCGACGTCGCAGCGATTCGCGCCGAGTTACTCAATCATCGCGAGAGCACGCGAGGGAAGTTCCCCGGGACTCTCCTCGCATCAATAACTCGTCAATAAGTCACGACGTATATCACCGAATTATTTCACCATCGATAACTGGGAATTTCCGAATATGTCCGAGTGGAAATCGATAATCTACGAATAAAGCAAACTAATCACAGGAGCAGAAGAAGCTGGAGGTCTCTCGTACGCAATAATATTCGCGTGGGATATAGGATATAGGATATGCACATTCGGGAGATTCATTTTGAAGAATCTCTCACAAAGTTGAATAACGTCGCATCCCTCTCGCATGCGTGTGGCATAACATCCTTTAGAAATCCAATATACATACGCACCTCAAAGAATATCTCTTCTCGAAATTGTAAACATCCCCGATCAGATTCCATGTGTGTAATCCGCCTACGAAATATTTAGGATTCCCGAGGACGCGTCAAAGCCTTCGAAAGGAAGGGAGTAAATCGGAAACGCGAGTCGAGTTATCCCATTATATATGTACCGAGGCGCGGCGGCGATCAAAGGAGGAGCGAAAATCGAGAACGGGCGGAGAAGATCTCGACGTTAGTCTCCTACGTTTCTCCCCGTGTCAGAAATCCTGAATGCGCAGGGTAACGTCCCTCCACCGTCGCGAAAAATATCATAACACGTACGCGGGGCATGCATTATGCACACGTTGCACCGGGATTCGCGCGGCGAATCGGAAGACTCCCGCGAGAGAGAAGAGATCCTGTCGCGCTGATCTACAGTCGGTCCAACATGCATCCGTTTCCGCGCGTGATCCTCCCGAACGGGACGTACGTACGCAAATCAAGGAGCGGATTTGGGATTTATATAATAAATGCGGATCGTGATAAGCCGTTTATTCACGTAAAATTTTCATAAAAATGAATCCTTAATGGAGGATAATTATTAACAATTCTAAGGACACGACGTGAAAATTAAAAATATTCATGTTTACGTATATTTATAATTTTCATTTTCTAGGCTTCTATTTTATTTCGTACACTTTCCATTTTTAAACGCTGATGCGACATCCGCGAGTTTAATGTCGGACAGATTTGTGAAGCGAGAATCAACTTTATAATTCGTCGACGGACAACGTTAATCTCTAGATGCGGCTTACGGTCGGATATGTGACCTTAAAATCGAAATTTTTCCTGGCAACGAAAATGTGCATGTCGCGCTGAAATATCTCCCCCGTTGAAATATAACCCGAGGAAAACGCTTTCCGCAGGAATCGTGAGATTCGTGAAGGATTATGCTGCAGTTGCAGCGGAGGGTACTTCGCGACGTAATCTTCAAAGATGCAGCAGAATTAAAGGACGGATAGGATAAAGAAAATAAGAGAGAGTTATAAAATACTCGAAATATGCAAATATCTCGTAAAGTCGTCTCAATAGCTTTCAACATAAAAACCATCGAATATCTAAGAATTGAAAGAAATTGATTTTATTCTTAATAATCCCGTAAGATAGAAATAATAACAATCATCGTAGATAACTTTCTGGCAAATTTCAAGCCAACAATCGCCCTCGACGAGTTTCACTGTTGAACGCAATTATTGTTACGCTTCCTCAAAGTTGGTCAAGCGACCAACATTTTATACTCGCTGCTCGTATGATTAATACATGAAGCTACCTGTCCGAAACACACCACGGTGAGTGGAAACAGGTCCGTGTGTTTCTGCGACACGCTCGCCAAAGAGGCGGGATCGAGGCCGGAATGGACCGGCTTGCGCGAGGGTGTAAAGCTCGGGCGGGGGTGGGAACCTCGCGCATAATCGCGCGTAGATATGACAGGTCGCAACGACGTATAGCGTAATCCCGTCTCGGGAGATTCGGAGATCAGAGACGTTATCCTCATGTCAGTTGCACACGGCGCGGTTAACGAAGGAACTCTGATTAATCATGTCGACCGGTTGACGCGATGAAAACGAATTCCCCCTTGGTTTTCCGGTATCGTAAAACGGGAGAGAGAGAGAGAGAGAGAGAGAGAGAGAGAGAGAAAGTTCCCTGGTCGCGACAAGAGTGAGAAAATAATTTACAGTTTCGAAACATTAAATGAACGGCTTTCGCGTATAAAATCAAATGTTGCTTTCAACCGCTCTGGATTTACAACCTTCCTGTCTGTTTGCAAATTACATAGTTGGACGGCTCGTTTCATCGAGCACATTATGGCTCACACGTTAATGTATCGTAAATAATTATTGTCGTGGCACGAGACAAGCATGTTTTCTGCTTGAAGGTAAACTTTTGGATGTTTGTTAGTAACAAGTTTTTCTTTTTACAGGTAATCCTGGTCAACAGTAGCCAGGCTCGAGTACTCGGTGAATACGCACAATGCATTCCAATTACGACTATTATGTCGTGATAATTATTGCGGCATCTTCAAAGTTTCAAGTAAGTACGATTCTCGTTGGTTGAACAAGTAACATTACTTGCTTATATTTAAGAAAGATAGACGAGTTTAAAGCAACCGAGCTACTGGGAAAAAGAGTCTCGTGGAATGTTTACGAACGCAAATAGTGCGGATTACGAAGCTAGGGGTGACTCGCACGTTGTGTACTCAGTACTATATATATACTATATATATATATATATATATATATATATATACACTCAGTACTATAGATAATATTTTTGAAGCTGAATGAAAAAACCGGGAGAAAGATATTTCTGAAGGGTTGAGAAAAATCTCGGGAGGCTCTTGGTAGGGCATTTTGCGATCTGATAACGAATTGACGAAAATAATAGTTTTCGGATAAGAGATTATAGCAGATTTATGTAGGATTTATTACGATTCATTTTCTCGAAATGGAAGTGAGTTAAGTTAAGTTAAAAGTGAATTAGAATTTTTCAGATTATAGAATTTTTTTAATATATTATAAAATATATATTACAAAAATATAAAAGAGGATTAATTCGAAAAGAATTAATGCTCGAAATTCGAGGATATGATAGTAAACTAAAGAATATTTCAAAAATTGTTTAAATACTAATAAATTAATTATAAATATTAATAAATTAATTTTAAATATTAACGAAATAAGAATTTATAAAATGATTGATTTTTTTACGATACAAATTATTAATAAAAGAGATGACATTCTCTAATTTATTCCAATTATTAAAATGATTTTTTTACAGAAAATGAAATATATTTTCTATAAAAAATAATTTTAATAATTATCTTAATATACTTGTTATTAATATTTATTATTATTTATTATTTTAATAATTATCTTGATATATTATTATTATTTTATCTTGATATATTTATTCAGACTTTTCTCTAATTTGTTTTTATTTAGTCACTGGAAAAAAATAATAAAATGCATGATAATCATATTTATATTATTCATACATGTATAGCAAAAGTTATCAAGTTAATGTATTAGGCTAGGTAAATACAGGCTGTTCAGTTACATTAGTTCTTAAGAAAATAATTTGTCGGCAATATCGAGAGCGAGATTACAGCGAGTAAAGTACGATGGATATCGACGAAAAAATACCGCGTATTCTCCATTTATTGAGGTTTACGTTCGTTCTTGCTTCTAACGGCAGTGCCCTACTTTGATAACAATAGTAACACGCTCGTATTGATAATCCTGCAACCGCTAAATCGTGTTCGTGAACTGTGTTATGCGCTAAAAAACTCATTCATTATAGACGAAATTAAGGACAAAATTAACATCGTTGTGCATCGTGTTATTTTTATCTGCTCGACGTGCTCATTTATTAATACCGAGAAGACATTTTGAGCAAAGTTATCGATTCATACAGCTGATCATTACGTTGATCGTATTATTTATGCCATTGCGAAAAGAGAATTCACAATTTGTCGGGATATTATTCTTGTTCTCTTGATAAAAGGGAGAAAAAGAAGCGAAAAAAATATCTTTCCGCGTTAACTAAATGCAAATAAAATTTGTATTTATTTTCTACAATTTACAATTCCCTTTAGAAGGGAATAAAGCTACTCCATTTCCTTTTCGAGACTACCCTGGAGTCTACAAAAATCGAACTCAGACACGTATTCTGCATTAGAGCTTTAAAAAGCGGTCGACAACGGGAATTTTATCAGAAACTTCGCTCCAAAGTACGGTTGAAAAAAAGCACACGATGCACGACAAGCTCCCTATTATGACAACCATCGCGAGGGAACAAAGTGGCGACTTTTTTATGACGGGGGAAAGAGGAAGAGGAACGGATCAACGACGAAATAGAGTGCGACCTGACTCTGCTACAGGGTGATATTAAATCCTCGATGAAAAGAAACTCGCGGACCAGTCCTCGCGCGAGTCCTCAAACGTCCTCTTCACCGACCGGTTATATGAGAGGCGGTGGCCTCCGTGATTGCCTGCCGCTGAAAGGGATCATGACGATTTTTTGTTTAATTTTCCGCTGAAGATCGAGAGAGAAAGAGGGAGACGAAGTCAAATGTCTATCTCCCTCCTACACCGGCGAGGAAAAAAAAAAGGAAAAGGAGCGAAGAGCTCAAGGATTGATACGCGACGCGCGTGACCAGGTTGCAAGATACACTGGCGGAAACGACGAGTGGCGTTCACCGATTCTGAGGATATCCGGGAGATTCTTGTTTCTCGAGACATCGAGAGAGAATGGCTCGATGCTGCAATTAGGACAGCCGGCGTCTCTCATCGCGAGCTAACCTATGTAAACAAGTACGAGTAAGTTAGCTGGTTGTAACGTTGTCGACTGCTGTAAATTGCTGCTTTAATTGTCAAGCAGAACACTGCAAATTACGCTCTTGTATAATCGCAAGACGAGAAACAGATCGAAAACATGGTCGTAGGACACTTGCAACGATATGCAAAACTACCCCCTTCCCCCTGTTCAAGTTCTCGAGTAAAAGAAAAAAAGAGAAGGAGGAACGAGACAAGTCTCGAGTCGCAGCGAACGTGCAATGGATGCTAAAAACTTGACAGAGGGTGTCAGGATGGAGGATGAAGAGCCACATCGGCGAAAGACGAGGAAGGGAAAAGAGTGGCCGAGAAAGTTGCGAGTATCCAATCATAGGAGGATATTGTGGGATCATAACTCCGCTTGCCGCCGGTCTGTCGAAGTCCTGAAGGACTCTCTCCGCTTCGTTTCTAGCTTCTTCCCGCAGACGTAGTCTGCTGCCAACGCTGACTCGACTCGACAGCGAGCAGCGATAGCGATTCGCGGCCTCTCAACAGCTTCGTATCGCGAGAGGGACTACCCTCTTTAACTCAACGCAAGCTTCTCTCTTTTTAGTTCTGCGGTTCTGCACTCTTTTCGGTTACAGTCTCATGCTTTTTTCCCCACTCTGGAGTTTTCTAACCAGAAGGTTGAAATTTCTGCCTTTCGTCTACGGATTTTTCGATTAATTTATAGTTTAGCGCGATCAAATAATTAATTAATTAGCTTCGCGAGGGATAATTTTAAGAGCGCAAAATGGTAATATTATTTTTGTGGAAAAATAGTATCGCGCTTGTGCATAATGTCTAAATGAAAATGTTACTCTTAACATTTGTAGAAGACTTTAACGCAAGTCGTGGCGTATTTTAACAAACTGAAACAGACCAGTCGACAAATTATGTTGCGTTAAAATGCGAAAACGTAAAATATTATAACATAAGGAGCGGCATTTTAATACTCGACTCGTCCCCGTGATAGCGGACCGAGATGAATTACAAATTATAATATCGCGGGCGCGGCCACAAAGATAAAGCCGACTGTCGGCCGGCAAACAACGAGAAAAATGTAGGCGAATTAACACGATAATGCAGCCGCGTGTCCGCGCCGTTTGCGCTGCCGTGTACCGCGGTCGCATAAAATGAATTAACGGATCAACGAGACGAAAGGGAAGAGAGAGAGAGAGAGACGCGCGTTGTGAAAATACGGCCGTTCGTCGACGCGGCTCGGCTGGGCGACGAAACGCGGCTCTCTCGCGTATAATAAAGGATGAAATATGCACCTCGAGTTACCCTCCGAGATGATACAATGCCCCGGACGAGGAGGAGCCCTTCGTGCAGCTCTTCGCCGGAAGGGGAACCCCTTTCTTCGCGATCTTCGCCGCATCCAATTAATCATAACTCCTTCTCACGACGAAGAAAAATTTCAAGAGATTGTAAAAGTCGTCCACGTTATTGATTTTAAACATTCGTGATGCGTGAATTCTTCGAAACAATTTTTGCAAATTAATTTTTGCAAGATAAATCGGACATCAAAGAAGGATGAAAACGTTTAAATTATATCGTGTAATTAACAGAAGATGCTTCGTTCAGCGTTTTATTTCAATGCTAAGAGTGAATTTCGCTGAATTCTCTTAATGGAAAAACATGAAACTCGTATTTTGAAAATAGCAGCGTATAAGTAACTCATTTTTCAAACGTTAGCTCCTGAAAATCGCGACGTCGACATGGAAACATGTTTCGCTGCCTGGAGCAAGAGGCGAGTAAGCGGCCGTAATTAAAATTCGTCTGAGAGAGATCGTCTCGGCTCTCTCGGAGGCCGCGAGTGGAGAGAAAACACGGATCGGGGAGGGGTAGACGAGAGAAACACCTGAGGATGGCAGCGACTTCCACAGGATTTCCTACGGCGACGCCCGGTTCTCGTCTGGTATCAACAATCATCCCGCTTATCATCTTAATGCAGCATCGTGCTCACGAGTTGCGCCTTGATCTCGTTAAACTGTCGCAACTTTTTGAAGTTAACTAAACTGCCGAGAAACGGCGGAAGAAATTCGCGACGCGAAATTTTCGCGAGGGCGATTTATCTGCGCGCGAATCGACAAGGGATCGCTGATAAGTAACGAAGACAGATTCCTGAGAAAGTTTCTATTGAGATCGAAGAGGAATCAAATGATTCCTTCAGCTCGTACGTCGCGATAGCCAAAGTAGAAAGGTTTTTTATTTTCTTGAGATAATTTTAATATGAAGCTTCAAAGTATTCAGAAGATCGAGGATTGAAGAATCTTCCAAGAACCATATCTCTTTTTTTTATATAATCTAAATTATAAATTAATCGAAACGATTTTATAAAAGATGAGCAAAATTTCGAGGAAATTCCCACAAAAAAAATTCCCACAAAAATTAAAATATATTTATATTCTAATTCGAGTTGGAGAAGATATGTCTGTTTTTTTTTCTCAATAAACCGCTTTGACAATCGCTTCCTTACGCGAGATTTTCTCGTTTCGCCATCCGTATCAGAGAAGCAGAGAGAGACTTTATTTCCTGGCGAAGCGTATGAGATACGTATCCGCAGGGATCGCGCCAAGTTACCGCCCATAAATCTCTCGTCTCGGGATATTACTTAATGCACCGACGTTTCGACGTGCAATAAATCCCACCGTCAAAAATCGACGATGCGCTCTCTCCGCATCCGCGAGACGAGTGTGTCGATGCGAATCGTACGTCGTATCGATCATTCCGAGAGCGAAACGAAAGACCGTCCGTTGTTCTTCGCGTCTCGTCGGGGATTTTTCCCCGGGCGGATGCCGAGAGTGCTTCTCCTTCGATCGACCCCCCCAAACACGTAAACTGACAGATGTTGAAACAAACCATGCGCGCTCGGGAAGTCAAAGTCTACGAGCAGGAAATTGTCTTTAAATTTATTTTACTATCTAAAAAATACTGGCGGCGTAAGAAGATGAAAGACACAGAGATCTCACTCATATTACGTTATATTTATAAATTCATCCCCTACGCTACTTTAAGATACATTCTTCTCGCGTATCTCTCGCGTAAATCCCATTATGGAGTATGCTCTTCGCGCTGTAACGAGAAAGTAAAGCTACCGCTCATCTTCCTCTCGAGGTCTTATCGTAAATGCGCGCGAAAATCCTCAGGCTTGCAATTTAACGCGACGAGTCAAGAGAATACGAATTCCGAAGAAATATTACCTTTCAGAAATATTATCTTCGGGACGACGTGTGCGTTATATGCAGGTTGAGATGGAGGTGTGCGAGGGAGAGCCCAAAGTGTGCGGCACCATTGCGTCTGCGGACGGGACACATACGTCGACTGACCCCGATTCTCCCACAGGTGCAATATACCGATCGCCACTGCACCCTTCCACCCTCCGCCGATATATTCCCACAATAATCGACCGTAAGCCACCCCAAAATCCCGCAGCCCGCGGCGCGCTCCAAATAAAGAGGAACAAACCGCGCCAACCTACCCTAATTCCGTCGGATGCCGCTGCGGAAAGTCGGTCATCGGACGGGGAAGGCGAGAGGGAAGGAGGGAGCGGAATTTTCGCCCGCTGGAACGCTCTGTATTTCGGTCCAACGGCGAATTATCCACCGGACACGCGAGAGAACTTCAAAGCGAGGACCTGGCAGCGGATTATATAATCTGGACGATGCCCGATCGTAGGGCAAGCGGATCGATTGGCTGTGAAATGAAAATGCGAGATAAATAAAATCGCGAAATCGAGATCGCGTAAATTAAAAATACGGGTAGAGTGAGAAAAAGACGATAAACAAGTAAATGAAATTTTTCATTAAAAGAGATAATGTGAAAGAACAGAATAATGTATATATGTGAATTGAAAAATAATTTCTTAATTAAACGCAAAATATGTCGAAATGTCACGATGCGAAGAGATTAAAGTGTAATTATGCCAGAGGTGAGGATCGTTATTTTTTTTCATCCCATCTCGTTGATAGCGATCATTAGCCGATGGGATCTAATTTCCATTCGTGCCGAAAATTCCGACCTCGAGCGGGAACTTTTATTTCGTCGGATCGGAGCAATGGAAATTGAATCCGCCCGAACGCTGCTGACGAGCACGGGATCTTCTGTTAATTTCGCTCGCACGACGGATAATCGAAGTTCAAGAAGGCTCGTGAGATGTGATGTCAATGGGACGGAAAAATACGAAGGGTTCGTGATAGCGGTGGGTGTTATGATTGGCTTTCTACGAGATACGTGGCTTTCACCTAGATTAGGAGACGACGTGTTCCTTCAAAAATTTCTAGAATACTTTGTGCCACGATCGACAAACTTTTGGTTCGCCTTTCATGTTTCTGAAAAAAATCTGATCGAAGGCGTAACATTAATAATGTAGAAATAATAACATTAATAGCATAAATAATGTAGATTAATATATTCTGAAAATATCTTTCAAAGATAATAAATTATTTCCGACGACATAAATCGAACATTATAAATCGATCACCGTAATCGATCATGGAATTCCCTCCATGGATCTTAATTATCATGATTAAACTTTCGAATTAGCTTTCTCGTGGCAAATACGCACTTGGGATGAAACATGGTAAATTATTCGATAAAAGTGTCGTTCAAACTCTGCCAACAACCAACAAGACAATATTTGAGTAGCGAATTCATCGCTCACTTGATTGATGCATCTGACAATTTACGAATCGTATAGAAATTTGTTCACCTTCCTCCCCCCCTCTGTTTTTATTCGGGATTAATGTACCGATTCAAAATGATCCACTGATATCTTTTCATACAGGAGTGTATTATTAGAGTCATTAAGTTTTCATGCGATTACCATTATTTCATGTGTTGCATTTATAAATTTTTAATAAATTTTTAATTTTTAATTTTTATAAATTTTTCTGATCCCTTATTGTCATTAGCGAAAAATTATAAAAGTTTTTTCTCTATCAGATTCATCGAAATAAATAAATTTTTTTGGATGTGACCATTCGTATTCGATAATATGGATTATTAAAATATACCGAAAACTCTTTTTTTCATTAATTAATAAATAGCTGTAAATCTTAGTCAATTATTGTAAAATCCAATTTCACTGAAAATGCAAAACAAATGCAAATGAGTCGGAATCATTTATTAGTGACAAATAACGAGGAGATTTATTAATTCATATGTATAAGGAATTTACTAATTCATATGTATTATCGGACATGAGTAATCGTATTTAGAAAAACTTATCTATTTTAATATATTTATAAAAGAAAAAATATTATTAAAAATATTTATATAAGGAAAGTATATTTATAAAAGAAATTAATATTCTCGTTTCTGATGTCACAATTCGATATGATTACAACAATAAGTTTTGAAATCGTAATGAAAAGTAACTCCGATTATTTAATCTCGTATTCGATTGAGAAATTATTCTTGGCAAATTATGAAAAATTGTGTAATCTCCGCGATAAAAATTGTGTAAATTGTGAGATTATTATCGAAGCAATCAAACTAAAAAAAAGAGAAGGAAAAATTAAGCAGGCTGACAGATATACGATAGACACATTTATATATTCTCAAAGGGGAGAAATATCGATCTTTAATCTTCAACTTTTCAATAAGCTTACTCATCCTTTTATTCGAAGGAATTCATCTTAAGCGATAGTAAAATGCGGCAATTTGCCGAGCGACAAATTACTCGGGTTTACGCGATGCCCTGCCGTCATGTCATCGGGATGCTCGTGTCTCGACCTCACTTACTTTCATTATTTCGCTAAAAGCATGATGAAAGTAAGATGTGTTCATCCATCTTAATTTATGTACCCCAACATTTCTCCGTTACATCGTGCAATATCCGCCGGTCTCTCGATATTTATACGCATCATCAGCTTTCGGTCTTTTACGTAATTGGAATCGAGTTTCGCACTTTTGCGTCGTTTGATTGGGAAGGAAAAGAGAAACGTTAATTCGACGACATCTCGCGTAAAAGCTATCCAATCTCGACGAAATTTCAACTAATACCCCGTATTATTCACGCCTTATTCCTTATTAATGTACGCGCACATGTCGCGAAGCGATCGGAGAACATACGCGCGAGCGCGATAAAAGTTCCATTTCCCGCGCATTAATTCCGGTAAGAGGAGGCCCTTTATGACGGCACACAGCCGGAGTTCAGAATTCAATGGAACTTTTCAGACAATGGCAGCCGCCGACTTGTTCGAGGGGTGGTTCGGTGATGCGGAAGCAAAGCGGATGAAAAAGAGGAGGATCGGAGAAGAGGCGAGAAAACGACGACGGTGTCGCCGAATCTAAGACAGTGGTTCTTAAACCCAGTCATCTCTCTCGGATTCTCAAATTATCTGCTCGCATATATTTGTACGTAAAAATATAATACGAAAGCTATTTTCATGGAAATGTACACTTTTTACTTGATCGATCGATGATGAAAGGTCACGTGTGCGCTTTCAAAAATTCAACGCATTCCTGACTGATGCGTGACAACCTGTATCAAGAACCACTGACTGAAGGAGCAGGGAGAAAAACGGAAGGAAGCTGAATGAGTGCGGTTAAAGTCTTTGTGTCTCCTCGTTCTTGACATTTCAAAGATTATTCCTTCAGTCTCTTATATAATTCATTTATCTCCCGATACTCTGTATCCCTCTTACGCTTTGAACACTTCGCGCAACGGCAATTCCATAACAAACTAAAACGAACGATAATAAATTAAACAAGAGTCCCGAATTATTATTCCAACGGGACGAGTTATTTCGCGAACCGAGAAGAGGCGCGAATAATTATTCCGGTCCGCTCTCGATAGAGTTGACACCGTATTGTAAGATACAGTTCGATCATTTTTAGATACTTGATTCTCTTTAGAGATTAAATTCGTTTGCAGTTAAAGAAGTAAAATTTTGTGTTCATATATCTTCACTATTATAATGTCGATTTCTCACTTTTGTTTTAATAAAAAAAAAATTTTTTTTGTATGCTCCAATTACTACGCCTTGGCTCTTGCTTGCCAATTCTGTCAATTGATAATTATTATTAATTTTTAATTATTAATCATTATTATTTCTTATTAATTAGAATTAATTTTGTAACTTTTATTTTTCTATTTGCATTTAAATTTTAAAATTTTTTTTTTTCGTTACAAATTAAAAAAATTATATTTAACAATTTAAGTATATGTGACTGAAATGTGCTACATTTAAACTAAAAATATTCTGCATCTATAAGTGAGGCACATACAGTTTTTGTTCTTTTTATAATTAATATATTTTTTAATAAATTATAAAAAGATAAAATTATATCCTATGTTAAATCGATCGATATTATACAAAAGTTTAACTCCAAATTTACTTAAAACGCTCCGCATTATGATGCCCTTACTCATTGCTATCTTTATCGCATTCTAGTAAACTTTTATGTCTTTGAACATTACAATTTCCGGAATATTCTCTCTGATAAAATATTACGTCGAATAAGCTATTAAAACCGAGCGATTTTTAAAAAGATTTAGGTTGCTGCGAAATCTATCGGACTTGCCTAAAATACACGCGCGTCTCGGAAGGATTGAAAGTTCCAGGGCAAGAGGTTGTAGGCCTAGCGGATAGAGAAAAGCAGGATAAAAAGCTTCGGACGAAACCACCCCCGAGCATCCAATATGTCTGTCCTCGGCTTCGATTTTCCTCCCACTATCTGGGCCACAAGGTTATTACACCGTGTTCTTGTATTATCGATCTGTGTTCTCCTGAGAGAACGTCATTATTACTGTCGGCCATTTTTTCGGCACTTCGATCAGACCGTCAATCGTTCTGCTTAGATTGGATGATAGAGTTTTTATCGCACAATTTTGAAAAAAAACTGTCGCCCTTCACGAAAATATTTGATGAAAACTGATTTTCAACTCTGTTTTTTTTCAATCATTTTTATCTTATAAAATCTCCTCGTGACAATCAATATTGTTGATCAACTCTACGCATAAAAACTGTATAATATCGTTTCGATTATTTTCTCGCGCGAATTTCGATTTTGCCCAGAGAAATATCCTTACGTGCACACGTAAACATTCGTTACAATTACAACCACCGTTATTAATTAGGGAATACTGCGATTGAGATGGGAAACGAAGTTGACTCCGCGGGATCGCGAGATCGCGAGCGAGGCGGAAAATAAACGCAAGTAACAACGCGCAACGAAAGCGTCGATTGGGAGGCAAAAGGAGAGAGAGAGAGGGATTGGAGGGATAAAAAAGGGAATATATTGCGTTCTCCCGTATAGTTCGGCTCGGATTTGTGTATCGATTGCGAAGCGTTCCGATAGCCTACCCTCGCCCGCATCCTACCCTCGACCACATGTATGTACAACCCGCTCCGATACTCCGCTCGTCCGGATACACGTGTATTGCGGAAAAGTAGCAGCGTCGTTTTGTTCCATCGTGTGCGCGATTAGCCGATGCCCGGAGCGCCATAGTCTACAAACTGCATTTATTGGGTTTATCGGATCGGTAAGCTCGCTTGTTTGCTCGTCGTAGGCGAGCCCAAGAAAAATGTTACCGATACGACCGACCGGTTTTCATTACGTTACGTTACGTTATGTTGCATGCGGTCGTTTCTTTTCTCCTCGTCGAGTTTTTAGTTGTTTCCCTTTCATTGCTTCCCTCCAGAGCACTTTATTGAGTATCCATTTGCGAACGCTATTCTCCTCTCAACGTCTTCTCCTATATACATCTCGAGGATTTTTCAATTACTGTAGAATTAATAAATATTTAAAAATTAATTATTCAAGAATTAATTAATAAATTTAAAAATGTTATTTTTCGCAAGAGTTCCAGATATTTTTGACGCAATTATACCGCAGCGATCGAAAATCCTTATGTAGCGTTCGCGCACTTCCGCGCAAAATTCGAGGTGGTGCGATCGTTCGAGTATCTTAATTATGCAGATTTTCGAGGTTCGCGAAACAGAATAACGAGAGGAGAGAAAGGCGGAAGAGAGTGTTAGTTCGTATCAGCGGGTCGCTTGTAATTGCGAGGTAATCCTATTTCATTCCGAGTCACTTCAGCCGGTTCGAGCATGAAACGCCAATATTTCCCCGCAACTGCCGGAACGAAGAAGGGAAACGCTATGGCCTCGAAAATTGCGACGGCGGCCGCGAGATTACCGGGTAGCTGCAACCAGTGGCGGATCTGACGAGGGCAAGTGCATATAACGAAAATATTATTTTTAACTAGCGAAATCATAATATAGGTATCGCCGACTTTTAAAAACGCGCGACACGTCTTTATAACGTATTATGGAATATTAAAATACATCTTTTCTTCTTCCGATTCTTTATATTTAATAAAATTTATAATTTTTTGTATTTAATTTATATTTAATATCGGTATTTTACATTATATTTAATTTATATTATATTTAAAATGTATATATTATATATATATATATATATATATATATATATGTATATATTTTATATATATAATCTAATTTATATCTAATTTATATCCAATTTATATTTAACAGTATTTTGAGCATGGCATAAATTATAAAAAAATTATAATGAAATAATATAAATATAAAATATTATAAATATTATAAATATTATAAAAAAAATTTGGAAAATTTTTTTTGTTGCTGGTACTTGTAATCTAAAACAATGGCATATATTCTAGATTATAGCGCCCAGACGTTTATCTCCACAGTTAGGAAACGCCTATGTACACCATTGAGAAGTGAACAAGGAGCTGGACTGTGGTAAAGTCTTTTTCATTCTAACTTATTGCTCACTATTCGTGTCTCGTATGAAAGTCGGTGGGGTCTCGAACCACGGACGTGCGTTTCTTTCTCTTCGAGAGCCATTCATAAGGTTTGAACACTAAACATGCGCGACCAACACGAGCGTCTCAATAGCTTATATTTCTTTACTTTATAGAATCGATTTTTTTTTAAAGAAAATTTGATGGAATTATTAGTCAAATTGTGTTTTCTCATACTTTTTAATTTTAAATTTATCAAATATTTCTTTTCTTTCTTCCTTCGAATTAAAATTTAATCAAAATAAAATTTATTATTTAATTGAGGATATAATTAATTTGCAAAAAAACTATTATAGAAATGTCTGACAAAATTTCAGAATTATTAATAATTATAAAAGAAAAAGATGCATTTATTTATTTATAAATAACAAAATAGATTTATTCTAAAAACACGTGAACAAAACATATCCAAGATTTTCTTATTCTTTTTCTGTTATGGGAAATGTCAAAATGACAGCTCGGCATCTTTTTTTCATCCCGTATTCGTTTGTGTGTATTATGATAAATTGTGATAAAATCGAACGTATCGTATATGATAATCACCTACTGAATAAAGATACGTCTCACACATACTATGATTATTATATATCTCCCTATATGTTTGAATAGACAGCATCGATACAATTGCATACAGATGCACAACCGTTGATGTACGATATCGGGAATGCATCTTGCGGATATGTCATTAGTAGCGTATCCTTCGCAAAACCCTTCGAAGGCAACTCTCGCGAGGGAGCGGGGGGGAAGAGGATCGTGGAAAGATATATCGAATTTATTATTCAGGCAAGACGCAAGGGAGGAAAGAACTGTTGTATGGCGCAGCTACCATTTCGCGAGAGTGAATTTTTCCTACGTCTGCCTCTTTGTCCTTCCCTTCTTCTTTCCCTCCCCCTCCTCGCCTTCTCTGTCGCCGGAAAATGGCATTACCGTTATTCGATTTGTTTCTTCGCACATACACATACACACATCTTGATCACTCTCCGGACCGGAAACGCGGCGAGATATTTCGTAGCGCGAACGCTATGAATACAGACAAGAATCGATCGAAATGCGTCTCTCGAATCGGCCGATGTCTCGTTTATTATTCCTTCGCCGTTAAAATTACGCCGGAGACATAGACGTGATAGTCATTGCTCATTTATGATTGAGGTGATTCGAGATTTGGATTTATCAAAAATCGAATCCTTTGAAGATCCTTATTCCTGTTTGTATATATATACAAGATTATTTTAAATCTTTCCAAATTATTCATACACTACGAATCTTTAAATCTTTATGGTTAAACTTGTTGTAAACATCTAATTTTTTAAATAATTATTAAGAAAAAAAATCTATAAAATTATTTTAAATTATCAATAGCATTATTAATAGTAAACAGTAAATCTTGAAAGCTTTTATGCAATAATCCGTTATTCGTCATATCGAACAATTAGATTTGTTTACAATATCATCTTTAAATAAAAGAAAAAATGGTTAAAAATCGAATAGTTACTAGACTTAAGACTCAATATAAAATTGAGTTTGTTCTTGATTAATAGCCAGTCACTAATAATGGACCAACGACGCCAAGTGCTGCAACGGGATCACTTTAGAGGTACAATGTTATTAATAACGCTATCCTCATTATGGTTGGCCGCAACTGTAAATTCGAGTCCGTCTCCTTATCCATTAATTAAGTACAAAGAAACTTGCGAGAGAATAAGAGAAATGGGAAAACAAATGAGAAAGGTTAGTCGATAAGCGATGGCCTTAGACCGGCCCTGGGCATTTCGAGCCCTCAGAAACTGCGAATCGAATGGAATGCCGTGATAAATCTCGCGGCGATCGGTGCGAAAGCGAACCGCAAGCGTTACAGCTTTAAGCTCGCCTTGATCGCCGAGCTTTCGACCCT